ACCAGTGACATAATCTCTTACTGCCATATCTCTAGCCTGCTTTTTCCTTACATAAGCATTGAAGTCGCCCATCAGTATAGTATACTGTGTTTTTACCCTACTCATTGCTGATTCTTGTCCTCATAGAAGCTTTCAGCTAGTGCGTTATCATGACTGGATGTAGGCGCGTAAGCCTGTACCACCCTCACCTTGTATCTCTTATTGAGTTTAATTACTATACCTACCACCCTTTCATTATTGCTGTAGTATTCTTTTATGTTACCAGCTATATTTCTGTGGATAAGGAACCCTATGCCGAGTCCTCTTCTGTAGCACTGTATAGGCCTCATATGTCCTCCTAACCTCATTGAGCCCTATTACATCCCATTTAACCCCCTCTAGCTCCTCGAATAGTACAGCTAGACTTGCCTCACTAGATAAGGTTCTAGCGTTTCACATTGCCAAAATCAGGTTCCAATGGCGGCCTGTACGGACCCAGAGATTCTTAGCACCCTCGCGGGCTTTGCAGATCTCACCGCCACAGTGGTCAGCTGCTTCGCAGCTGCTGCGGACTGAGAACCGTATGTTAATTGACGTATGCATGTGGGAGGTTGGTTGGTTGCGAAACTTTATTGAGGTCCTGCAAGGCGCGCGTCAGCGCGCAGCGGGCGACTCCCACGTCGGGACCGTTAGGCCAATCCTATCGGCCGCTCCGCGGGCCTGCTGGACGGCCCAAAGTTGGTCGGCCAGGAGGGAGCTGCGTAGGGCCGCCTCCCACCTGACCGATGTAGTGTTGGGGTTAGTGTACATTGCCTTGCACTCCCAGAGCATGTGCGCCAGCGTGGATACATCCCCACATGCGGGGCAAGCGTCATTGGGAAACACGTCAGGATATATAGCGTGAAGGGATTTCAGGTTAGGGTACGTGTCGGTTTGCAGTAGTCTGAGCGTAAGGGCCTGTGGCCTATTAAGATTTGGATGAGGGAGTGGATATAGTCTCCGCGCGAGGTAAAAATATTTTGTTACTTCGTTGTACGTGGCAGGCGCGTCCCTGTTTTCCGCAACCCCGTTGGCCCCGAATCGTTGCCCGGAACCCGCGCGGTAGGTTAGTGCGCGCGCGGCCTCGTGGGCAGACTCGTTGAGGTTGGGGGGAGCGCCTTGGACCTGTCCAACATGTGCAGGAAACCAAATCAGTACGTGGTGCTTGATGCCGTCGCGGCCACCACTTTGGAGCACGCGCAGGGCTTTTTTGGAGATTACACCGCGCTCGAAAGCGCGAATAGCTGACCTAGAGTCACTATAGATGACCTCCCTTTCACCTTCCAGGATGGCCAGGGCGATGGCCACTTGCTCGGCAATCGTCGGATCGTCAGTGTGAACCGATGCGCAGTTGGTGATTTGTTGTTTGGAGTCGACGACGACTGCGGAGAAGGCCCGGCTCCCACGGTACGCTGCCGCGTCGACAAAGCTGACGCCGTGCTCCTCACTGTGAATCTGCTTGAGAAGAGTGGCAGCTCTAGCCCGTCGCCTACCACGATTGTGCTCGGGATGGACATTCCTCGGTATCGGTGCCACGGTGATGAGGTCGCGAATCTCACGGGGCACCTGTCTCATCTTCTCGTCCACTTCAGCCGGAGAGTGACCGAGCTCTCGGAGTATATGTCTGCCAGTCTGGGAGCTCGAAAGGCGCGCGAGCTGGGCCCGCTCCTGCGCTTCGGCAATCTCCTCCAACGTATTGTGTACTCCGAGCTGGAGCAGGCGCTCGGTGCGCGTCCTGATCGGGATACCGAGGGCCCGCTTGGTAATCTTTCTGAGCAAGACGTTGATCTTGTCACGCTCGGCACGCTGCCAATTGTGCATGGCTGCGACATATGAAAAGTGGCAAAGCACAAATGCATTGACCAGGCGGATTAGGTTGTCTTCCTTGAGGCCTTGGTAACGGTTGGCCACCCGCCGAACCAGCCGAACCGCATTATCCGTCTTGGCGGCGAGCTTGAGTATAGTCTTGCCATTGGAACCATTGGACTCGATGGTCATGCCGAGGACCCGAATGGAGTCGACTCTGGGTATTACGCTGCCATCTCCGGTGTAGAGCTTGATATCACTCTTCGAGATCTTCTGCCAGTTTTTGGGCTTGGGCCCTCGCCTAGTGGGTTGGTAAAGGAGGAGCTCAGACTTGCTTGGGGAACACCTCAGGCCTGTGGGACGGAGGTAATCTTCCGTGGTGTCTATGGCCTCCTGCAGGGAGCGCTCAACTTGCCCGTCGCTGCCACCTGTGCACCAAATGGTAATATCGTCCGCGTAAATTGTGTGGTTAATGCCTTCGATACATGAGAGCCTCTTGGACAACCCGATCATGACAAGATTGAACAGGGTGGGCGATATCACTGACCCTTGTGGCGTGCCGCGCGATCCCAGCTCTATCTCCTCGGAGACAAGGTCTCCCACACTGAGGGTGGCTCTCCTACGGGTCAAGAACGATTTGATATATTTGTAGAATCTGACTCCAAGGCCAAGCTCAGCAATCGACCGCAACACGAAAGAGTGAGTAACATTGTCGAAGGCTTTCTCTAAGTCGAGGCCGAGAATGGCCCGCATGTCTCGAGTGTTGCAGTCGATGACTTGGTGCTTGAGCAGCTTCATAGCGTCTTGCGTCGAAAGCTTGGCCCGAAAACCAATCATAGTGTACGGGTAGATCCCATTGTCTTCCAGGTACCGAGTCAACCTATTGAGGACCACATGCTCGGCTACCTTTCCCACGCAGGATGTGAGCGAAATGGGGCGCATGTTGTCCAAGTTGGGTGACCTCCCCGGCTTAGGAATGAGCACGGTGCGTGCGACCTTCCACGGGTCTGGGACCTCGCCGCTTTTCCATGCCTCGTTGATGACCTCGGTGAGGTAGTCGATTGACCGGTCGTCCAGGTTGCGCAGGGTCTTATTAGTTATGCCGTCGGGGCCCGCGGCAGACCTTCCATTGAGCCCGTAAAGCGCCTGCCGAACCTCTTCGTGGCATATCTCGGCGTCCAGTTCAGTGTTGGCTGGTCCTGAGTACTCAGGGTACGTTGTTGTTGCGGGGTTCGAGTCGACAGGGAGGTACTTTTGCACCAGCTGCTTCAAAACCTCCTCTTCTGAAGAGGACTGCTTGGCTTCGTGCATGGCTCGCGCTAGTACGTTCCGCTGGTTAGTTTTGGTGTTAGTCTCGCTGAGCAGGTGCTTGAGCAGGTTCCATGTCTTGCCATTACGCATCTGGCCATCTACCGAGTTGCACACCTCGTCCCACTGCTGCTTGGAGAGGACGCGACAGTGCTCCTCGATGGTCTTGTTTAGGTCGGAGATTTTCTTGCGCAACCTGCGATTGAGGCGCTGGCCTTTCCAGCGGGCGAGAAGTGACTGCTTGGCCTCGAGCAGGTGGGCAAGGCGGCTATCCATTTTTTCAACCGGAAGGTCAGTACTAATATTCTTCGTGGTACTTATGACGTCCTCTCTGAGCTGGCTAATCCACTCCTGTAGGCTTGGCCTGGTTGCAGGTAGAGGTCGGTCGTTGCGGACTTTGCGAAACTGGTCCCAGTTTGTCCAAGAAAACTCCCGTGCCCTCTTTCGAACCACTAAGAACTGCGTCACCAGGACGTAATGGTCGCTACCTAAGTCAATGTTTGAGTTGGCCCACTGTACATCGGGGAGATTCTTGACGAAGGTCAAGTCGGGAGTGGAGTCTCTGCAGGATGAGGTGCCCAACCGAGTTGGAAAGGCCTTGTGGGTGATTAGAGTCAGGTCCATGTCCGTCGCGTTCTGCCACAGTTCCGCGCCCTTGCTGGTATTGTACGGGTAGCCCCAAGTGTGGTGCGGAGCATTAAAATCACCCGCCACAACCAGGGGGTTGGGACCTGCCAAGTTGACGGCCTTCTTTATGAGGGCCCTGAAGCGCTGCCGTCGGTCCTTAGGGCTACTGTACACGTTGAGAAAAAAGATGCTGCTTCGGTCCGAGCTGCGCGGCAGAATCTCAGTCATGACATATTCGGCGCTGCTGGTGGCCATTTTGAGGTCGTGAGAGATGTGTGTGAGCTTGTTACTGACCAAGGTGCAGACGCCCTGGCCATCAGAATAACGCGAGACGGGCTTGTAACCAGTCAGTGTGACGTTTGGAGTTAATGTTTCCTGAAGCAGAATGACGAGGGGTTTTTTCGCTAGAGCATCGAATGTACTGCTGCAAGGACGCCTTTTTACTAGGGAAGCCCCTGCAGTTCCATTGCCAAATGAGAAACGTCTCACTTGGCTTGGCCATCTTGGTGCTTTTGTGGGCTGGTGCTGCCCTCAGATTGGCTAAGAATAGCGTGGACGATGGGGCCCGTAGCGCCGGGCTGGGGTTGTACGACGGCGGTTGAGGTCAGAGCTGGTTTCACTACGCTTTCGAGAAACGACTCTACCCTGGATACTCGGTCGTTTTGCGCGGCCAGGGTGATCTGCAGTTGGGCGAAATTCTCCCCGAGCTTATTGATGCTTTCACTGAGCGCGGATAGCGTGTCTCGAAGCTCAGACCTGACTCGAATCGCTACACCTTCCTGTTCGTAGGCGACGGCCCTCTTCTTGGGAGCACTTTGACCCTCACTGCTGCTGTCGCCGGCTTTAGTGCTGTGCACCTCCATGGGTAGGGGCATTGTATCGGCGACGCATGCAGCGGCGGGTTGCGGTGGTGGGTTTCTCGCGTTCTTAATCTCAGCAATTTCGGACATAAGCCTGTTTATAGTTTCCTTCATCGCTGCATTCTCGCGTTTCAGCTGGGAAATCTCGCGCGCGCTCTCCGCATGCTCTGGGAGTGACCCCGACAGTACCTCAGCTGGCCCTCCTCGGACCGTGTCGGCCCAGGTTATAGACCTGGATCGAGACCTGGAGCGGCTCCCAGACTTGTAGCGCCGGGTTCCTCTTCGGGACCGGGAGCGGCTCCTGGACCGGGAACGGCCCCTGGAATGGGACCGAGAACGTCGCCTGGAACGGCCCCCGGAACCACGTGACTGTTGGAAGTCTTACCCATCCGTGGGGGGTGATGGTGGTGCCGTGGCTTGGCCTTGATCGGTGGCGCGACACTTTTCCCAGCGCCTTCGTCGCACGACATACGGGATCTGGAATCTTTGCCTACAGTCCTTGTCAGCCGTGAGGTGTTGCCCACCACACAGCCTGCACTTTGGGGTACACCTGTGTTGTGCGTCAGGATTTGAAGCCCCACAGCCCCGACATACGATGTCGCCTGGGCTGGGGCACACATCAGCACGGTGACCGAGCCGACCACAAGCGTAGCAAATGTCTATTTTCTTGCGATAAAGCGAACATTGCACAAGGGTGGGGCCGTAGCGTACAAAGTTTGGGACTCTATGACCGTCGAAGGCGACGATTACCGTACCGGTGCTGCCTATGCGCTTGGCTGCCAGGGCGAGCGGATTTCTTTCATTTACGATCTTGTTGTCAATATCATTCGGGCCGTCTACGAGTGGAATACCTCGGATCACGCCCTTGCACGTGGAATGAGGGGCGGCCTCGTAAGCACTGACCTCGTATGTTCGGCCCATGACGACGATCTGCCGAACTTTGACGTAGTGGTTGGCATTTTCCCTTCTAGGTGTGCTGACAACCATAATATTCTGCTGCACGTTGGGGCATAGCGTGTCGCCCCGCAAATCTTCGGCGCAGATGCTTGTGGCTGCCAGGATTGCATCAGCCACCACGGTGCAGCCGGTCTTGACAATATTGAGGCCTCCGCGGGGCCGAATCACGATCTTCGTATCCTCCCTGGGGAGCTGGGGCATCCGGCCAGCGCGGATGATTCTAGCCTTGATGTTATTGCCACTGTTGCGGCCTCGTGGGGCCTCGGCCGTTGTCGACTTCGCCTCGTTGAGAGTAGCACCATTAAGATTAGCGCCTGCCGAGCGCGCGCCAGCTCTTCTGGCGCCTGCAGACTGCCAACCTCGGTCTTCTGTCACCTCTTCGGGGGTTATGTCCTCCCCCACCACCTGATATTCCATTCTTTTCTGAAAATAAGCCCTGCGAAGAGCGAAAAGAGCACCCGGGAACGTCGACGCGGCTGGCGTCGCGCCGGCGTGGGCTTACCTCGTTAGGCTTAGCCCAGGCGGTGGCCGGCTCCGGAGAAAAACGTTCCAAAACGTGAAAATAGTCCACTCACGCAGCAGGTTTTGGCATCAAAATAGTCCTGGCACTTTCACTGATGCGACACAAACAAAGCTGAACGCTCACTTGAAAAATTCACTTGAAGATCATTGTAGGAAGCAGGAGCCACTCCATGTGGGAGGTAGTGGCAAAATACTGCACTAGGGGGGCCAGTCCTCCTCTGGTGAGGGAGTGTGTTACCGGCGGTGGTCACTGGCGAGGCCGAACCCCAGACCTCTTAATGCTCTTTCATCATCACGCGTTTTTTTTTTTTAATCTGGTTGAGAATTGCTCGGCACCGAGATTCAAACCACAGATATTTTGCACACGAGGCTGATACTATAATCGCTATGCCCTCGCTGCTATTGAAAGACATGTATATGAATGAAAATAAAATATACATATATTTCATACATATAAAAATCATACATATACAAATATACATATACAAATCTAATAATATCCGCACGGTGAGAGGTGGAACCTTCTAACCTCCTTCTAGCTTCGCCACTGTACTGGTCATTTGAAATCTTTGTTTTCTTTGGGTTTGGCCCAAACAATGATTGTTCTTCTGCACATACATAACCATAGTGATAATCAGAAAGGAAAAGCGCTGCCCATGGTCTTGTTGAATAGTTGTGATCATTTATAATCAATCAAACATGTCAGCCTCCAAGCTTACGGCGAGTTTTCAAGAGCAGATATCGGAATGAAAGGACGAAAAAATAAAACTAAGTACAGGCTATTTCGCAAGGCTACATAATTATCCTTTTCAAGCGACAAGCTCATTCAAAGGCTGCTTTCTTCCATCAAACTGCGTCGCTTCTACTGGTTTTTCTCTGTGTGTTGGTACTTCCCCCCTGACGTTTTCCTCAATCAGCGTGCGTAGATTTGAACTGCCTATGAGGGATCACTTACCCGAAGTAATTATTTTTTGGAAGACTTCGAGGTGTTTGCATCTTCTGATAGAAATAGAGAAGTCATCTGTGAAGTCAATGTCACTCACTAAATTGACATATCTGTCACCTGTCCGCAGATAAAGTCGCCTCCTCGGAAGTGCGTGCGGCATATCTGTGCATGTGCCTTTGGTTAATTGCTCCTTCTAAGCTAGCTTTATCAGCCATGCATCGTGATGTTCATTATCCTTGGAAAGAAAACCATAAATGTGAAATTGCACTCTGCTCTATTGCTTGTGCGATGCACAAATTGTGGCACACAGCACCATCGAAAACATTAGTCATGCTTTCTAAGCTTTTGTTTTTTCTAGATGCCAGTGCACAAGAACTGGTTGTGAAAGGAGGCAGCATGAAGAGGTAAACTCTGAGAAAAGACACGCTCGGGCCGCTGACTACCTGTCTTTAGAGCCAGGTTCTGTGAAGCAAGGTGGCATCACCTGATCGTAATGTCATAGCATGTCGACTCCTACACCCGTGTCTGCAGTGGTGGGCCTCGTGTAAAATAGAGCAAAATAAATTCAGGAAGTATAGTTGCAATGGCAAATTATCCTACAAATAATGCATTCATGTCGTTATTGCTGTGAACTGAGCTTTACGAAGTGAAAAAATGCCAGAGACTGAATGGAATATACGTGCACTATTGGCACCAAATAAAATGAAAACAGTGACAAGTAATAAAAACCATATAGCACGCTCCATCCAGTCATCACCATTGATAGGCGCGCATCAGTTCTGTTTGGTAGCACTGTGCATGTCCGCTGTGATGTCTCGACAGGACGCTCTAGAAATTGCAGGTACTTGCGGCTGTTTGTGTTTCATTTGATGCCGACAATACTAATGCTTTCTGTCCATTTGTCTCAATGATCACAAATGCAGTTCTGCCGTGATTTGCCAAGCATTATTTATTTTGATATCTTCCTCATTCTTTTGTTTTGATTTCTTGTTCCTGCCGGTGAGCTTATTGGCAATAACAGCATCCAGGTGTACCTTGACTCCGGTAATGTCAACGTCCTTTAAACGAGCAAGCCTCGCACCGATTCTGCGGCTGATTTCACTCGCGTTCTGTTACTGTCCCGCAAAAAAAAAAAAAATATGTGGCTTTGATGGTTTTGATCCCATGGTACATTTCTTCTCATTGGTAGCCACCCACCTGCTCTTCGGATGCGGGCCCTATTCCATGGGCGGATTGAGTAGCTATGCATGGCTCTGCTCTCGCTGCTCTTCCGCGATTTTTTTCACAGCATCGGGCCTCTGCTCGAGTTCTCCAAAAAGAAAACGGTGTTGATAAAAATGAAAAATATAAACACGAGCAATCATAAACAGTATTCAGCAACGCGACATCGTAAAAGAAAACGACGCTTTGCTTTCTGTCGGTTAGAGCCAGGCTTTGTTCGCAGAAAGCTGCTGCCGCTGCGAAAGCGTGGGGGATCCTTGCACACTCAATGAAATACAATCCCATTTCCATGAGGTGATCTTTGCTGCAAGGTTGAAAGTCCGCAACCAGATTAATCTTGGCAATCATGAAAATTGTGGCATCACTTCACCGCGGCCAAACAGCCACTGATTGAATGCGTGTGGTGACATGTGATGGCACTCTCTTATTGGCTGAAAGCAATCTGATTCATGATGATATTCCTTTAGCACTGAGTCTGGGGCAAGAGTATTTGAGTAGGGGATATGCGGTCTCTGCTTTATCTCCAATAATGACTTACCTTCTCACACCCAACCAAAACTGAACGATTCTTCACTGCCCCTGCTCATTCCACCTCAACTCCATATTTATTGTTGCCGTACCTTTAAGGACTCTAACTGTATGTGCATATTGGACGCCCAAGCAGTAGAGTAAGACCAGAAAAGATATATACGCTCATGTTTCACCAACTACCTCGGGGAGAAAGTGGATCATGAACATCGAGCTCACTGTCGGCTCCGATGAGGAGGCAAGCTACAATGACACTTCATAATGTGCTAACAAAGCTCAAGATCTTGCATTTGGTGTCTCAAGTGTGCGGGTTGTGGTGGCTACATGAGAAGGTATTAGCGTAATGTCTATTATATCAGTCTCTGAATAGGGCATTAAACAAACACCCACAAAGGGCTAAAATGTTTCAAATGCCTAACATTGTAATTTGGAATATTTTCCCTGATCTCATGCATCAGTCAATTTCAAAGGTGAATGAGTGCCGGGATTGCAACGACATAAACCTGCCTCCTAAAGGGTGGAAATCTCCACAGTTCTGAAATATAGAATTTCGTTTCACAGTTATGCACCAACACATGTTGACTGCAGTGGTTCCTTCAAAGAAGAAAAGTGGTGTAGACAAGTTATGCCTGTGTAGCTCATGACCACACCTCTTAGGAAAAAAAAAAAGAAAGAAAAGTGAGATGAAGACAGTCACGTGGTGGCAGGGCTTGACTGAAGAGATGTCTGCGGGCTGTGTGTTCAAGAACCAGGGAACAGAGTGCAGCCAATAGCGCGAATTAGTGACCAGAGAGCGACAGTTCGTTTTGTAATGAGCGTGCGCCATGTTATATGTGAAATATATAGAACCTATGTTTGTTTTTTCACAATAATTGTTCACAATCAAAATTTGCACTGGTGTGTGTGCTAATTTGCAACAACAGGGATTGACGGAACAAATTTTTGAATGCATCATTATCATTGACAAAAATGTAGGCATAGTATCTGACGAAAGCAACAAATAATTTGCAACCATACATTTTATGGCAAAATAATAAGAACCCTCTACATGTCGACTTTGTCACTTTCTTTTATGTGGTTGCATATAATTTACAAACTTTGTATATTTCGTGGAAACTAGACAAGTGACTGGCGATGTCCATTCTTTTACATTTTTTCTATCTAACCTTGTGGACTTCTGGTGGGCCGTGCGATGCATGGATCTGCAAGATGGCTTTAGTTCACTGTATTGGGCAATCAATCAAGAGATTACTCATACGCTTGCACAAAACAGGCAAATGGCTTTTTACATGTGAAGCAGCTTATGGCAGGGGCCTTGTCCCTCGTTCCTTCTAACTGGTCCAAACCCCCACTGCGCATGCGCATCCCCTCCCTCCTGCTCCTTCCCTACGGCCCCCCTGTCTCTCTAAGTCAGTGTCAAAAGAAGCGCTGAAAGTAACGCTAAATGGCGGTGCTTAGATAATGGTTGTCGAAGCATTTGAATTCGTTCATCATGTTCTTGTATACATTGTCGTTCTTGTGGTGGGAGAGATGGTCACCAACAATGGTAGTTGGGTAGAGGTTATGAATGTTGGTGCATCTGCGTAAGGCGATATAAACGAGTGTCTGTGGATGTCGTTCACCATCTCACGCTGCTTTGCATCCACACATGGTTCTCTTTAGCGGGAGATAATGTATTTTTTGGCACAATAATAGTATTAATAATAATAATCGCTCTAGTATTTACCATCATAAGGGGCACGAAAATATATTTTCTATTGGCGGGGGCCTATCTAGTTATGCCACTGCTGTGAGTATTATAACTTCGTAATTGATGGCTTATTCGGACACTTTTTTTTTTATATAATTTCTCACAAATACTCCTAGTGAATCTTGAATGATTTAAGAGCTTTAAGCATTATTTTGATTTTATGTCACTTAGTTATCTAAACTGCACTGCCACGTACAAAAGCCACAACATCTGCTGTTGATATTTTTACATGTATAAATATAACTCATT